AAAATATTACTATAAAAAAAGAAAAGTATTTGTTCGGGGTGTTTTAATGAAAATCGGCTGGGAAGCGAGGCCTGTCAAATTAACGGATTGTTGTTGTTTTTAGAGAAAAGTTTAGCTTGGTTAATTCCTCAGCGAATTGAGCAACGGGAACGACAGTGTACTTGCTTTCTTGTTCCATTTAGTTTCCAGCACGTTGGTTGGGCGGTGTCATTTTAATTCCCGTTATCAGATCAGGTCAGGGAACAAAGTTTTATATAAACAAATCAAATCTAAAGGCGTCACTGACCAAACTGTGTTTACAAAAAGCATAGAGCACGAGGTTTCTTTTATTTTAAAATATTTACCCCCCCCCCCCCCCCCTCCCGCCCTCTAACAATGGCCCTCGAACTTTCCGGTGTGGACTATCTGGTCACCGCACTCAAATGAGTTTGAGATCATTGATTTAGAAGACTCGCTGAAACCCTTACCCTGAGCATAAACAATAAGGTGGCCAGAATGACCTTGTCTAGGCACCCCCGCCCTAGCTCTTTCCCGAATATTTCAAGTCAAATATTCGAGGTGAATAGCATAGTAGATAGAGAGCCGACCGCCGTATTACCGATTCATTTGCTGATTCTCTCTCACGATGACCAGCTGTTAGGCCGACGCACCGTCACTGGTTACTGTCGCCGTCGCAGCTCGCTGCTGCTTTCTCGTAAAGTTCTTTCTCGACGTGTGTTTCCGAATCAATTTTCTACATCTACTCTCGGTCCACCTACACTCGACCTTTATTACCTGGAAAGTAAAAAATTATCTACAGAAGAAAGGTGTTTGCATTGGGTCGTGTATACCTCCAGTGCTAAGTGATCTCTACCCCGCCCACCAAGACAGATTATTGAGCGATTGCCTTGACTCCCCCAGAGTTGCCAGAGTATTTCGGTACGTTGACGATTATTTGATCCTTCCTGCCGCCGAGAAGAGCATTATCAAACCAGCGTGGCCGTCGTTCTATCAAATCTTAAGAACTGCCTGAAACCATTGAATATTATATAAAAATTAAATAGTGCGAAGGTTAGACAAAGTGCAAGGGACAGAACATGTAGACAGGACAAGCGCTAACTCGCAACTTGTGAGTTAGCGCTTGTCCTGTCTACATGTTCTGTCCCTTGTCCTTTGTCTAACCTTCGCGCTATTTAACTTTTATATCATGCATATCCAACTAGCCCACCTCAATATATTAGTATATTGAGTATTACTCATAAGCTTTCGGAAGAAAGATCTATCTGATTCTTGAATCTCAGGATCCATTTCCGACATATTCATCTATGCTGGACATATGAGCTAAGGAATAAAAAAAAAACAATTATTTTGTTCAATTCGGCATATTCTAAGCTGGTAAAAAGAGGAAGCGTAAAATTATGTCGAAAAACAACTCTCTTCAAAAATCCTGCGAGCACTCTATTTCAGTGAGCTTTGATGCGCAAATTTCAAGATTAACATCCGCCGGATATCCTACCTTTTTATTCGAAATTACGTCCATAAGTTTGGTTGTTCCAAAGTGCCTACGTTTATTCAAGCAACACTCGTTCGCAAGATTTGTCTGGGGGCAGTAGTTCTTCCAACCGCAAGGACAGCAACGCGAAATGGCGGTGCGGAAATATGTTTGGATACCGGTGATTTTATATGTTCAGGGCACGTTTTTGTCTGAACATTTATTTTATCTTTAATTAAAAAACGAAGGCAAACAGAGTATAACTAAACTCAGAATTTCGAAAATTTTTGAATATACACAAAATAAATTCCGATAAATGCTGAATATTGAGCGAAATATGAACTCCAAAGAACACGCTCCGATTTTCACAAAATAGAAACTCCGAAAACACGGAACCCTACAATGCTTGGTTATATGAAACCTTTGGGCATGTGCTGCATACACGACAAGCTGTTGTGCTCTGCTGCTAAAAAAAAAGGAATGCTCAAAAGAAGTCTAAATTTATTCAGGTGATGCGTGCGCGAATATTCTTTTCCCGCCGGTGGTCTTCTGCGGACTAAGTATGCTCAACTATGTATAACTCGTCGCCGACGTTCGCCTGTGGACTAAATATACCTCGTCGCCGGCGGCCGACGCATACTAATTATGCTGCACTAAGTATGAACCGCCAAAGAAAATCGCCTGCTCACAAAGTATACTGGAATAGGCACACCAGCCAACGTGGGTAGACCTCAAAGCAAGCTGCCTTGAGATCTACCCACTATCCTTCGATCAGAGCCAATCAAAGCTCGGCGTTCTGACGTCACCACAACTTCTGAAAAAAAGAAGCAAACGAACTTGCGCTCCGCATCCCCATGAATAAAAAGTAACTTACGTTTATTTTGCGTTACTTTCGTGTACATTACTTGCCATGGATTGACAGTGACAGCGTTTTGCCACACTGGGACAAATCGCGTGGACGTTAGAGTTTGCCTAAAATGGGAGTGTGTGCGTGAGAGAAAGAGAGGCCATATTTTGAATGCATGTGGGATAAGTGCAGAATTCCTATGACTTGGCGCCTAGCAACACACACACACAAAACAAATTGAAGTTAAAATTTTTGTAAGTGTTAAAAAGAGGTCGTTACGAGTAATGAACTGGGTTACCCGTCTTCTTTACAGTAACGCGTTACTTTTCTAACGTAATAACATTAATGTTGTTGGCTAAGAAGTAATAAATTAAATTACTTGATTATTTTAAAAGTTACTGGCTGTTACACAAAAAGTTAACCTTTACTTCTTTATGATTACTTCAGAATTTCCCAACAGATTTCCCTGCCGGTTTGAAAACGGATCTTCCGTTCTTTCTATTATTAGATTAGAATCGCCGTATTAAAAACTGCTAATCTTTTCAATCGATCAGCTGTGTGAAACCTTTCTTTTGTCGAAGACTTGGTTCGAGGATCCTTTGGTAGGCAACTTGTCGGAACAAAGAGAGCCATTTTAAGGGAAAGGGAAAAGTAGTTACGGTTACAAGTAATTTAAGTACTTCCAAAAGTAATCAAATTACTCATGCGATTACTTTCTAATAAGTATATTTTAATGATTACAAAATTAGTCAAAAAGTAATCGATTACAAGTGCAATTTGATCACGTGTAATTAGTGCCGTACAAGTCAGTGCCTCACACCGATGTCACCCATGACGCCATGTAGCAGACGGAGCACTATTTCCTCGAAAGCGGAGCCGGTGCTTTATACACGTGGGCGGAGAGCATATGCACTAAATGTTTTGCCTGTCGCTGACTGTAAACACTCCCAAGATGTCTAGATGCCGATGGTTTGCGCCCATAATTGTTAAGATATTGATTTATTCTGCCATATTGGGCGCGTTTCTATTAACGTTCAAACACGATTTACGTATATCAACAACGCTAAAAAAACAGTAGTTAGGTTATATTTAACATTCTTATAATGTAAAATGTCAGCGGGAAGCGTTCTTCTCGTTCCTCATCACAAGTAGTGATGACGCGTGCTTGAAAACCATGTGTCAACTGTGCTAATGTTTAATTCGTACTGCGGATGATATCAAAGGCAAAATGTGCCCACTTAAAACAAACTAAGCGTACACTAAAAGTTAAAAGTTAAAACCAAATAATTTTTTGTGGGTGCGTGCCTTAATATGATTAAGATAGCCATAAAGCTGAGCCAGCTCATATGTTGTCTGTGCTGTTCATGAAGATTGTCGACAGCGGGCGGAAAAAACAGAAAAAAGAAAAAAACTGCGGGCAAAAGCAACTGTAAGAGCCTTCAGTAACCCATGTGCCCTCTCTTTTAGTGAGATACGCGAATAATAAAACCCTGTTTTGCGTGTAAATCTATAATATAATATCGGCGCCCAAACAATTTCATCTTCCAAATCTGTTGGAAGTGATAGCGAAATGAATAAAAGCAACGCATGGTAACGTACAGAGGTGAGGAGGATAGAAAAATCTAGGGCAACGTGCCCTACAACCTTGTTGTGTGATTATCATTTGGATCGTCGGATTTCTGAAACACTTTAAAGGGTCACTTCAACGAAATTTGAATTATACCCGTCGGTTTCAGGAATAGGTTGAATATGATCCACAATATCCGTAAATGGCAATCGCATGTTTGTATTTTGACCCCGGTGGCTGTATTTTTTGTTTAAACGGCCCACTCTGGCAAGCTCTCGGAGAGCAGCCAGCGGAGAGCACGTCACATCCAACGCATTCGTGACGTAGTTCCTCTCGGGACGGGCAAGGCTACAGCGAGGCTCACGTCGAGAGGATAGCCTAGTCGTTTCAGCCACCGAAGCGGCAGCTTTTGTACGATCTTTGAGTGACGGGTTAATCTTCTATATTTTTGAAGGACAATAGCGACTCCTGAGACACACAAAAAGGATTCTCGCCGAGAGGGGAGCTCCTACTTTCACCTCTTCTCTCGTCGTGGCCGGAGGCGAGACAAATGTCATCACTATATGCCAAGGTTCCTAGACGGTCATTACAAACGAGATGTTAGCGACATCCACCAGGTGCTCTTTGCTAATCGTTTAATTTGTTTTAAAATTCCTTTTCGTGTATTTGTTAACAGGATATTGGTGTGTCCGATGTGACACTACTCTTTTGAAAACATCTAGACCAAAAAATAAGCGCCGAAATTTTGTTGTAGTATCCCTTTAAGCAAAAAACAGTCACGTGATCATAAGCCAAGCCCTGTGTTTCTTATATTGCCCGTCCCCATTGCACCCATAACACAACTGCAGTGGTAATATGTCACTAAAAAACAAGCAAAAAAAGCAGATGTTGTGCACAATCCATCGAGGGCACAAAAATTCAGGAAAGGCTTAAAACTGTTCGCGTTAGTTTATTGAGGCAGAGTCAAATAGATTTCAATGTCATGGCGCATTTGAACGTCGTTTAAATTGCCGACCGATTCAGGAAGGGAATTCGCGGACTAGAAAGAGTTGACCAGAACACCTTCGCAGGGCGGGGACGCAAGAGGAACTCATAGCGGAAGTCGCGGCGCAGTTTCACTTCCGGTAGCAGGTGCAGGTTTGCTTGATGATTCCCGAGCAGTAACCACCCCGGCGCTTGATGCTTCTGCAGTGGTTGTGACAAGCCCCCTGGTTGAGTGGACAGCCGAATCCACGACCTGCGGGAATTCAGGAAAGAGTTCACGTACTCTGCGTTTACACAGGACAGGTATTCGACTTGTGCGCTGGATACTGCATTTTGAGTCTTTTCCACTCCAAGGATATATCGCTGCTGTAATATCACGTATCGCATCTTCGAGACTATAACCTCTGCGCTCTATGTTTAAAAGTTTACAAGTTGAAAATTTATGTGTGCGAACTATGAAAGAATTTAGTTCTTTTTTTATACTTCGTTTCACCACCTGTAGAAACGCAGCCGACGCTACAAGCTAATGGGACCAATCAGACTGCGTTAAAAGCGCACCCTAGTGATGTTCATCGCGTTTATGTACGTGTTTTATCATCAGTTAACCATTCAGGAACGGAAGAGGCCTAGTGACTATCACTTTAAACTTCGAAAAAAGTTCCAACGTTTTTTTGTTTGTTTCTTGTAGTTCTCGATTTGATTGAAACTTTTCTAAACACGCCAACAAACATCGCTCATATATACTAACCCAAATATTGGGCCACGATACATTTTTTTCGCGAAGTTATTGAATATACAGTTGTGGTCTTCACCGTGTTTTTCAAACTGAAAGACTCTGCTGGCAACAATGAAAAAGTGACGTCAGCAGAAGGCAGCTAGACTGTGGACTTTGTCTCCAACTGATTACAAGGAGTTGCATGGTGTGAAATGAATGCTTCTGAAGCTCGCTCTAGCACACGCGCAGGAGCACGAAAGATATGCTCGGCATATTCCATATTTAGATAGCTCGCTCGACCTGAAAGCATGACTTCCACTAACGTCACGGCGCGGAAAAGTGCGGGTATATTTGAATGTCGGTTTTGGCATCATTTTCACTTGTCGATTTCACAACAGCTATATTGAATTTCGCGATTATAAATGGCATACCGGAAAGGGTATAGGTCGGAGATTCCGAAAGTATAGTTATTTGGGGTAGCTAAAAAAAAAAAAAATCACCGGAGTACCTTTTTAGACTGAGACGAAATATGAATATTTTTTAGTATGAATAAACGTGACGGATATTGGGGTCGACGAATTATGTTGCTGATTACTAATGTTTTATACAATCTTCTTTCGAGCTAATAAAACAGAAGCTTGTCAAGGTATACTTCGTATCAAAATGTTTACGTGCAGACTTTAGGCGCTGGTTGCGTGTTATAGTCTGAAAAAAAGAGTATATTCCAGAATTGACTGCATCTTGCGGCACTATGTGTTAGCATATCACGATTTTTAATGGGTAACTGACGTCCTTCATTGTACTTGTTTTGTTGCCTAACTAACAACAAAATGTGTTTTTACATAACCTGATACTAATTACCCGCGAGCTAATCGAAGTTTTAGATTATGTAAAGCAAACATATTTCAATTGGTATTTTAAGTAAGCACACTTTATGATAAGAGAGGCAAAAAATATAGCCACAGAGAAAAATAAAAGTTTTAACATCACACCCCTATCTCAGGTTTCAATCATAATGTATAACTTACACCAGTTGGCCTGCACTTTAACTGTTTTTTCAGTCGTCATTACTCAGCCTGGCCGTTGCATTTCTGGTGTATTTAAGGCGCGTTCCACTGCCCATTGATAATCATTCCAGCAATATGTGGCCTAAGTTCTCAAAACATTGAAGATGCTGCTAAATAATATCGGAATGAGTCAAAAGTTGGTACTCACGAACTCTGACATGAGCCACCTGGCTATCATCTTCTTGTGAGCAGGAAGTGCTGATAAGACCTGGAATTATAATGATGTTGGTTACGAGTGGTGGCCGTAAACATCAAGATAAAACATTTTAAAAGTGGGTCTTACCGGCAATCATCATGACGACGAGAGCGATAGCAGCGGCCTTCATTATGATGAGATATTTCTCGGCCTCCTCAAAAAGAAAGCAAGAACTGCTAGAAGTACAAAAGTAAAACAGAATGTGTTACACTCATCAAGTTCAGCAATTCAGGCGTGATCACTTCTAAGCGAATTAAAAACATTTCTCGTGTTGTTTATGTTTTGTTTTGTAGGCTGTACGCCATAAATATAGGTAACTACGCAAAAAACGACCAGAATAATTAATTCGTTGTTTACAAAACTATTTCCCAACGCATGGTAACAACGTTTTGTTTGCTTCTCCCCCACAACCGAGAAATCAGTAAACGTGTGGGCCGTCCTCCTATTTTCGATTTCTAAGCTTTCCGTGTCGTGCTTCTGAAACGCCTCAAATAAGACAAGCCGGTTAAAAATGTACACGCTTTTATAGTCACTGACAAAGTTAGAACGATAGAGTTAGTACAGTTCTTTACTGATGCATACTCGCTCGACGCTAACAAAACACCAAAGTGTTAACGAAGCTTGGGAGATCGCGCTGGAGTCGCTACAACAGAAACCCTTTCCTGTCATTCTCATCCCGTTGGCGACTGTTGGCGACCCCAGCGAAATTGACGGCATCTATACGCATTTCCACCTCAAAAAGACAAATAAATTTTGCGCATTGTTCATACACCGCGCGAAGTAGTTCTTACAGGATTTGGTTGTCGGAGGAAGAGGCGATTCTTTTGGCGTTTGAAGCGTGTACGTCTCGATAAGATAGCATCTCTCTAAACTGAAATGCACCTACATGTACCTTAATTATCTACATGAAGGGAGAAATTAGTAATGCTGAGCGAGGAGTCGGAATTGTTTTACTGAGTTTCTTGAGGTGAAAACGAGTATAGGGGCTAGAACGGAAGGCATTGGCGGCAGGTTCGCTCGTCAGCCTTCTCGAGCGAGTCAAATCTTCACCGCGCCCAACGGTCTCAAGGCAAGGCCGTGAAAAAGGTGAAAAATACGCGGTTAAAATCGCCAATAGTATCGATTAAAATGTGGCAGGCATTTGTTAAAAAACTTCAGATGGAATTCAACCTTAAATCAAAGAGAAAATCGCATCAACCTGTAATTTCTGTGTGCCCTCTGAGGAGTATGGGAAGCAAAGCAAACTTACCTGTTAGGCGGATTTCTTCCCAAGGCGAATGTGAAGATATGTCCAACACGGCGAGTTATATAGAAGCCCGGCTAAACCGAAGCCATTAGGAAGCAGATCCAACACCCCTCACGGGTTTCCCGAAGAGTGAGTCCGCTATTGCTGTTGCGCCGTTCCGGGAAACAGAAGCCGGGGACCTTCTGGCATTGCCAAGCGGTCAAGTCCTACCTACTAGTAATATTGTTGTTGTTTTTTATTTCTAGATGACTTCGTATATCGTTGCCTGTTTTTTTGTCAAGCGTGCCGGTAACACAAAGTGTCAAGTTCGACAGATAAGCTGTCTGAAACACCTTAGATTATAATTACTTCATATCGAAGCAATGGCTTCGATACCTGGAGCTCTTTGCATATCAAGGTGCAGGCGGCGTCCTTCAGTAAAGCGCATTTTGAGTGACGTGCCATTTCGACAAAAAATAATTTCGAACTGCATGGGAGTTTGTTTTCGTTGTCACGATTCTAGCTCCCAGACTATACCTTTATTGTGATACCCGGATTAGATTGTGTTCATAACGGACTATTTTTGTTCCTTATGGAACAAAGCTTAAAGTTCGAGTTGGTTTAAGTTTAAGGTTCCCTTGTACAGAATAGATGCCGGGGTGTATGTTTACATGCAGAGGATGTGTAGGTGAATCGCGGTAAATAAGGAATACGCCTGTATTCGTATTTTTATTGTGTATCTATTCGAATTCAGTTGACGTAACAATAAGTCGTGATCTTGTACCCTCTGCAACAGTTAGTTATTACGATGGGACAACTCCAATCCTCTTTTATTAGGTTTTAAAAGAATTAAAGGTCCATTGGTATTTTCCGAAAGCACAAATATTTACAAAAGCCAGATTACTTCTAAAGTAAGGCTCGAGAAATAAAACTTAGGTGAAATCGCTTGACATTGGGTAATTCACTCAAGTCAAAGGCTTTAAACGAAGACCAGGGCTTGTGTAAACAACTAGTTCACAAGAACTTCGAAGAAGCCGTAGTAATTACCGAGAAACGTAGCTTGCAACAAAAAAAAAAAAAAAAAAATACACGAGAACGATTTGCGATCCATCACGTAATGCACTCTTGCGCGAGTAGGCAGCAAAACGTCTTGATCGTTGCCCTTGACTTTCGTATTCTAGGCGAGTAGAGGGGAAGAGTGAAAAAAACGAGTTTTGTTGAAAGGGCGCGAGCGTGTCTTTCCGAGCGTGCTGCAATAAAGGAAAACGGCCAAAGGAATAACGACTCCCAACATTCGAACGTATACGGCCCTGACCAGCCGAAAGAAGCAGAAAGAATTCGGGGACAACCGTGCTCTTTAACATTCGGAGAACACCAAACCTTTATCTATCTGTGTTTTTCGTTTTGAAGCGAAAAGCCGGCATGTATTTGTATTGTTATTTTATTGGAGATATGTTAATAGTGAAAACTTACAAGCTTAGGTAAGATGGCGTAAGACGCCGTCCGATGAGAAGGGTTCGGCAGTATCCATCAGTCCATCCATCCATCCAATCATTCATTCCTGTACAATACTATATTCATGGTTAAGAAACATGTGGCGTGAAGAGTTCCGAGCTTCTCGAGAGTTTTAGGAAACCGTGTTTGCACATTCGATACGGTACGATGGGCCCTCCGGTATTAACTGCGCATGCGCTACCGCAGAACATTCGCACATGCGTAGTTCGTACCGGAGGTCCCATCGTACCGTATGGGATGAGACAAAAGGGCTCCCTAAAGACACTCCTTCGATCGCACCACAGCCAATGCGCCAATGCGGCACTGGCTGATAAGAGAGCCCAAAAACTAGTTAACAAACAAGAAGCGGGAACATACGATATACGCGACGTCCCGCGTTTCTTAAAACGTCAGTGACCCATGTATTGCAGGCTAGGAAGGCAAGCTTGTTCGCTTTGCCGAACGGCTACTTCTACAATCGGACAGCTTAAGGAACGCAGATCGTGGCTTGCTCGCTTTTGGTTTCGAGATTCGACATTCGAGAGTATGTGGGAACAGGAGCGACAATACGCTGCTCAAGAGATGCCTTGCGTGTCTTAAGCTGTTAGAAACTATAGCTGTATGAACACAGGGCATCATATCATGACCCCGTAGTTATGAGAGGTGACTTCGGTGTGCCTTTGCTTAGGCAGCACGATCGCCACAAAAAGTCCACAATCTCAGACGTGCAATGTCTAGTTTCAGTTACAAAGTGTGGACTATTGCCTTTTCATCACGCAATGATACAAATTAATATAACCGCAATCGTATTGCGTTCGCCTGAAGTCGTTTACACTTCGTCTGCTTCATTACGCTCAAGGTCGCTTCCGAGAAAGTGCAACCGGCAAAGAAAGGAACAGGAGAAGCGGATCGTGACTCAAATGACTCCCCTCTCCAACTGGGAGGAAATTGAAATAATATTCGTTTGGTTGTTAGCCCATAATATCCGGCGGTTTCGCGTGACGTACACCTTGGGATACTGTTAGCGAGAATGCGACATCGGTGCTTTTTACTCATTTCAAAGTGCGGACGCCAAAGTTTACCTCATTAATTGGTGCACCAAAAGAACACATTACACGCTACACTAATAGAAAGTTATTAGTGAACTTTCAAATCTTAGAAGAAGAAACAAATCAAAACAAAAACTGGCGATTACTTGTTCGCATAAGTTGCGTTATTCTTCCTCACAGAAATCTCTTCAGATCCATGTTGGAGGGCTTTCGCCCTATAATTTCATATTCGAGGATGCAAAATATCCCGCCTCACTGGAGTTATTTTTGCTTTGTAATCAACTAAGTTAGCTGGAGTGGTTGGCAACATAAATAGGGAGAATTAGTTGGTACTCGATGCTTTACCTGTTGGCCACTAGTTGAAGGTAATAGTTGCCGGTGATCAAGAAGTCGGCTCGTCGACGGCAAAAATGGTCCCAGCAGGGGGCGCAGGGGGCACTCCAAAGGACGAAAAAGCCGAGTATACATGGGTGTATACGACACCATTACGTCCCCGAGGGTACGTTTTTGTTTCTGTCATCGACGGGGCCACTCACTCGCAAAGCTTTTGCGTCATGTACACACCTAAAAACGGCTTTAATGAGCAATCGCTTAGGTGCAAACAAATGGGAAAAATAGATTAAACTGTTCCCTAGCGTCTTCTCAAACCGTACTGAAAGCAAAACGTGGTAGTTAAAACCGCTTTAAATGGAAGTAAACAAGGTCGTTGTTGACACGGTCCTCTGAAGCTTTTGCTTGCAAAGTGTACAAAACAGCTTTAAAAAAAAAACATCTCTAACCCGTTTTTTTACATTAGACCAGAGAGCGTCACGTGTACATATTGCGTTGGTAGAAGCCGTAAAAGTTAATTTTTATAAAATAACAAATGCATATTTTTTAGTCTTTTATTTAGTTATATCTATGCTAGTGGCAATCGGTTCCAATAATGTTGTGCCACTAAGAAGATATACTTATATTAGGGGGGGGGGGGGGGCGGGGAGGGGTTAGTAGAAGAGACCTTGTGCTGCATTCTTTTTGTAAACTCAGTTTTGACAGTGACGTCTTTAGATTTTATTACGTTATATGAAATTTTGGTCCATGGCCTGATCTGATAACAGGCATTCAAATGAGGCCGCACCACCAACGTGCTGGAATTTAAATCGAGCAAGAAAGCATCTACACTGTCGTTCCCGTTGCTCAATTCACTCACGAATTAACAAAGCTAAATGTTTATCCAAAAAACAATAGTTAATTTGACAGGCCTCGCCTTCCAGTAGATTTTTACTACAACACCTGAACAGATACTTGTCTTCTAATGGTAATCTTTTTCCTTCTTTTTTTTTTTGTTATGGCGAGAATTGCGAATTTTTATTTTTGGCAGTTGCTCTTTCTGATCGAGAGCCGAGATGCATTCTTCAACGTATAGCTCGCGTTTGCAGCCTAATAAATTAACTGTTGTGCATAAAAAAAGGAAGCAAACAAATAAAGCGAAACAAAGGACAAATGAACATAGATAAATAACAAACTACCTGAATACGTTAGAAGAGCAGAGCTTCTTTTCGAGCGAAAATGAATGGGCGAGGCGTGATCCCAGCCAGTCTCGCCGTTGAGGCAGGGCTCATGATCCCTGTCCAGTACGCGCCAATGCATGCGTGCGTCACACGGCATTGGATCACTGTGACGCCTCTTGGCGTGGCAGGCATTCCTGTAGCTATCGCTTGTCCGCTACAAAATGACACCAAGCGCACCTTCCGCCTACGCCAAGAAAATTTCATGGCACGTCTCCAACACCGGATTTGCGATACGCTCGCAGTAAAACCCGCGTAAAACAAAACTTACGGCCGGAAGTAGAGTTGGAGAAGACTGATTCGGGCATTGCAATAACCTGCAACTCCAGGCATTGTGAAGGGAAAAACCCTAGCTGTAAAAAGGATTTCTTCCTCGTTGGTTTGTTTGGACTGCAACTATATAAGAGCTTTGGACTCCTGTTAGACACCACGGCCACCTTTGCGTAGAGCTCAACGAAGGTGAGTAGGGTTGCTAACTGATAGAGAGACTGCTTCTCACTCTACATATTTTTTTTAATTGATGCCGATTCTTGTTGTATGAGAAAAAAAAAAACGTGAAAGAGTAATGTTGTGGGTTTATACGAATTGCAACTAAAAATTTAATCAGCAGCCGTACTTCATGCAAAGAAAATAACTTACTTGCTCGCTAGAAAAAAAAAAAGAAAAATAGCTTTCATTTACACTGTTGCCTTGTAAGCCAATTGCTCTTAATTATTAGACGAACTAAGGTGGAAATTAAAAATATATTTATTGTTTATTTAATGTAGAGCTAGTAGTTGAACTGCGCAAATTGTTAAAAGTTATTTTCGTGTTATGATTAAAGCAATTTTAACAATCATAAATATTTTTTTTTCGTGAGGCAGAACACAGGCCAAGTAGAACACCGCATCATCAACCTTCAAATCATGAAGGTCTTTGCTGTTGCCTTGATCGCCCTTCTCGTTGCTGGTGAGTGAATTTTGGGTAGTTATTCATTAAAATCTCAAACTGTGAACTTGGAAGCTGCTTTTTGAGCTCTTAGTTATGAACCCTATTAAAGGGAAGCTACGGAGCTTCTTGGAAAAAATGAGTTAGAAGTGAATTCTAGTGTATTTTTATTCCGTGAACCCGAACACCCAAATCATTTGCTGCGTAAGTATTGTTAAACGCGAGAAAAAAGCGAAAGACAGTCGCTGTCCGTGACGTCATCGACAACTCTTTTGGCTGCCCAAGGCTAGGAAGGCGGGGCTTCAGTCCTATTTTGAAATTGCTCGTATGGCTTTCCGGAGGGTCGCATTGAAATACAATTTTGATATCTGTTAATCTAAAGGCAAAATGAACGCAATTCAAGCGTTTTTTCTCAAATGTAGAAGTGCCCCATCTTCCCTTTAACTAATGTCCCGCATGCTTCTTAACTTTTTCAGGAGTGTTTATGACCTCCAGCGCACAAGAAGAAGAGGACCAAGTGGCTCACGTTCGAGTTCGTGAGTAACACTACCCAAGATATTAGTATCAGTAAAAACATTAAGAAAAGTACAGTAATCTTTAGGCAAGAAGGGAATAATAGTTCGTTTTGTGATGTTGTTGCAAGTATTTTGATCCAACTAAGCTCCAGAATGTTCCGCGAAGAGTAAAACAACACGCTTTATGTGCTATGCTATGTAGCATAGTAACCTCAGAAATCTTTTTGAGCGCTCATCACCAGGACAAAGAACGCCAAATTGATTGGCTGTGCGCATGCGTGGATTTTAATATTCCGCAAATGTTCCCCCCATGAGCAATGTCGCTCTCAGCTGCGCGGCGGAAGGTAACCACACAGAAAGCTACTACTGTTTTTCGAAACGCCTTTCAGGCCCCAGTAGACAAAGCTGGTCGCAGGCAGAAATCTATCATTGGAATGACTTACGCTTCTCCCCACACCAAAATCAGATGGCAGCCACCTGATTTGCCACAGCGTCTGCATTAGGCAGCCACGTTAAGCTCTTCAAAGGATTCATCTTCAAAGTCTGCGTGAACGACTGCAGGCAGGTTCGGTAGCCAAACGTTCAGAGCTACGCAAGGGGCCAACAACAGTGACGGAAATACTTCAAAGCAAAAGGTTTTCGTCCTTTCTTCATCGGCGATTATGTTTGAACTGAATCAAATGAGCGACATCTGTGGAAGCTATAGCCAAAGAGCTTTCCAGTCTGATGATCATCCGAATATTCCCCACGCCGCACGACAAAATATTTTCGCCATTTTGTTTATGTTCAAAGCTTTCTCGATTTTCCCAAAGCGATTTGTTGAATCATCATATCAAATTAAGCCAGTTATCGTTTCACAGCTGTAGCACACCATGACAATATCAAACAAAAAGAAAACAGGCCGCGTCTTTATCACAGCCATTATGTAAATATGATGAATTGTGAATTTACTTTTGTAGTAGCACACGTGTACGTTTTTTTTTTTGTATTGATGCACAACGTAATATTACATATATCTCAAGTGTTTATGAACTGTTACTTGGGTCGCACTTGTGGGGCTTCGTCGCATCTTCATAAGTGAACTAAAAAGAGCTCATGCAACACACAATAGAATAACGAAGGCCTCCGAACGCCCGATTCTTTATCCATGGAACGTCATCACAGCCGGATGGCGCAAACTCGGCCATTGGAACCGAGCCTTAAGCAGAGCGTACTTCAGCGCGTTGATTGGACACTAGACTCGACCGAGCGATGACGCAGCACTCGCGTCCAATTTCTATATGCGCTCAATCTCATCGTGATGACGTCGAAATTGTCGTCTGCAGGCTTTGATTATTCTAGTGGGTGTTGGTTCAGGTCGGTAGCCTCTCAGAATCGCGAGGGAGGAGCGTGCAGCAAAAGGCAAACGTGGCAAAAAGATTAAAGTTTTTTTGTCATTAAATTTTTAATCCAGTGTAGGAAAAAGTTTAGTCAAGAAAATTATATTTATTATAAATCAGGGTTATCTTATTTATATTGTATTTATTTGATTTAAATCACTGTAGTTAGAAAATAGTGATTCTTTACCGCTAGATTTTTGTTTAACATAGCAGATTGTTTGATCATCCTTTGGATCCCTGATAACAATGCGGAAGAAGGAATTACAGTAAATGTTAAGTATAGCTTATCAACAACTTCTCATTGCAGCAATCCCCGTCACACTGTAACAAAAACAGTTGATTTTTCTGTTACTTAAAGAAAACGTTAGTTGATTTTGTTCAAGTTTAGAGTTGACTGCAATATGACATTACTTTTCTAGTTTTTGTTTCTTACTTATTCCTTCGGATTTTGTGGCAATTGGACGTTATGTGGTTTACGAACGAAGTGGAAGGTAGAGATCAAGCTCAATGCTTCTTTTTCCGGAGAAGCGCGATTCATTTTGCTCGTGTTCGTTCCTATAAAAATCTCTATTAGGAGTGACACCAACCGCTCTTTATATTTCCGAAATTGATTAAGCGGATGCGAATGACTGGTGTTTTATGCAACTCGTTCAATATACGTGCACGAGCTTTCTAAAATGCAAGGATTGAGGTAATTCGCTATAAATGTGTCTTTTCAGGACGTGGTTTTGGGTGTCCCTTCGACCAAGGGGCGTGTCACAGGCACTGCCAGAGCATCGGACGACGCGGAGGTTACTGCGCGGGAATTATCAAGCAGACGTGCACATGCTACCACAACTAAAAAAAGACGACGCTGCTATGCCAAACGAAATGTGAGGAGGCGTGTTTACCGTCCTTGCGATGGCCTTTTAATAAACTCCTTACGTTGTTTCACAATCTGTCTTCATTATTGTAGCTAATTGAAGGCAAAGCTATTTCATTTTCATTGGCAATTTTATTTTTTGCATTTAGTACAGGATGCGGCGTCATAAATTAGCCCCCCAAAAAAGATCCCGGCCGTAGTGGCGAAAAACAAACCCAGCCCGGGCGTTTCTGGCGCGATAAACCGCTGGGAAGAAGATTAGACCGGCCAGCTGCGAATTTATGTGAAAGGGGTTGGGCAGAATTAATACGCCGCGCGTTTGTCCTAAGCAAGACATACATTGGCAATCCCCAACAAAATAGGCAACACTAAATGAAAAACAACAATAAAGACAACTAACAACAGTACGATAATTAAAAGAAAAGTTTAAATGGGCCGTGAGTGAATAAAGAACCTCCCTAATGCGAGCATGACACTGTATATATATGCAATTCAGCAAAACGTTTATTTCTTTTTTTTTTCGAACATACCAAGAAATTTGCGTGTCGTTTGAAGCCCGTAATTTCAAAGCTTTCAAGCTGTATGCTGGTGATAATCGATGAAGTAACGGTTCCTAAGGGCTAACAAATGAACAAATGCGACGCAGCTTAACTGTATACATGCGCATCTTGACAGCTTATCATAAGAGTCCGTGCTCCGTCACAAGACTCGAACCCTTTCACGCAACATTATATTACGTAAAAAAAAGCCATACGTAAATTGGAGCAGGCATGGATATAGCATACATCATTACAGTTTTATGACACGGGTCACATCTCGTTGTGTCAAATTTAACGATCAATTCTAAAACCTAAAAAAGAAATATTTCATGAGATGCTCTTCGCCATGGTCGCTGCCTGCATCAATTAGCAACAGCAGATAGCATCATCGAAACTGTATTGTACATTATAATAACTATATGGTCTCATGAGGCCATTTTTCCAAGTCAACGTTAATATAGATTATCTGAGCTTTTCGGAATTTCCTCCTTCAGTCCCTCACCCATCGTTTGAAGCACTATCAAGATTGTTTTTTTCCAAACTGTGTTCTTAGAGGACGGTGGAACGCCATGTAGGCGACGTGCTTCGAAATATACGTATTGCATATAATACACTGCAGCTACCATCGCAGCCGTTGCCTTAAAACGATAAGACTGCTCACTGGGCGAGTTGGTAGTTCAGGCTGATTAACGTTACAGGGCACCACAAGAGAAACACTCACAAGCACACACACACCGAAAAAAATATACTCATTTGCCGCGATATGAGTATATATATTTTTTAGTGTGTCTGTGCTTGTGAGTGTCTGTTGTGGTTTGGCTGTAATCAGACGTTGACGTAGTTCAACTACTCTACTCAAACTACTGTAGTTTAACTACTTTTTCGAGTAACTTGGTAACTTCCAATTACAACTTGATTTGGGTAATTAGTAGTTTAATTTAACTACTTTTTTCAGGTAACTTCTACTCAAATTACTAACTACTTTCGAAATTATATAGTGCTAATTTTGTCCATCACGAAAGTTTGAGCGCAGAAATGAATAAGACGCCGGCAGATAAAGTGGCACTCCCGAACAAGGGGCCCCCTTGTTCGGCAAGGCGTCCTTGGGCCAAGGTGGCGACGAGCAGCCAAAACATAACACCGGCACGCACGAACGCAGGAAAAGATGCTTAAAGGACCCATGAAACGATTTTAACATCGAGAGAACGTGCACCTTATTACCCTTTTTTTGTTTACTTTAGCACAAAGGCCATAAAACACGACTACTTCTCTCGAAATGTCGCAAATGCGCTGCGTAACCGCAAAAACTAAAAGGAACTATTTCTTGACTTGACTTCACGCACGGCAGCCATAGGAACTAACTTTGTGACGTCACGGCGGGTGCTGTTATTGATATCGCTTTTGAACAAGTATATTCTCAGTTTAATGCTAATGTTTAGAAATGATTTCGTTCCAACATAAACAAATGAATCGAAAGTTTTATAATCTTGTTCAGCATACGAAGTTTTCGCAGCGCCATCTCTCCGGAGTAAGTCAAAGCATCCCCTCCCCGCTGCTCCGCTGCCTAGCAACGTTGGTTGCCTGCGACCGGACCAGCGGTGTGATCGACGCGGTATCAAAACCCAAAACAACGTTTCGGCAGCTGCGTGGCTCCTTTTCTTTCTCGTGCGCCTGGTTCGCCTGCCTGCAACTAGCCATTGCGAACATTCGTGATGCCCACCGGTTGCGGTGTTCCGCTCTGCCCCAACCGTAACCAGAAGAATCCCGTGATTCGAGGCAGGAACCTTGTGTACCACTCCTTACCCCGCGAGGAGCCCCTCCGAAGTGCGTGGTGCCGAAGCATCGGCAGGGAGGACCCCGGGAAGGCAGACGTACGCGTTTGTTCGGAACACTTCAACGGCGATAATGACTACGTTCGCATAGCGAGTGTTCTGCGCGATGCTGGACAGACGTTGAAGCGCGTTAGCCTGAAGTCCACTTCTGTGCCTTCGCTTCGACTGCCCCCCTTCGCGAGGTCTACCCAAGCAAAGGAGCCACCGTCGAAACGCCGAAGAACTCTGGTAAGCATGTTATTCATTTCAGTGCAAGTCAGATTGTCAAGGAACATTCTGTTTTTTCAGGGTGATGAGCCGATTGGGGACGCCGGCTGCTCCGAGGAAAGTGCTCCGAGTGCGCCTCGTGAGCTCTGCTGCTCGTGCGGTCACCGACCAGCCTCACACGACGCAGCTGTTCAAGTGGACCCGGAGGAAGTGCAAGCAGTGCAAGCGCCTACAAAAGCCCCCCGGCCGCCTGCTAGGAAAGACAGGGCTGTGGGAACGGACCCTCGGCTGGGGAAAAAGTCTGTCGGTAGGCATGAATAATATAGTGGCAATTTGGACCAGTTGGTTTATGATCACGTAAAAAAAAAAGTGCCAAAAAACACAGGGACGAGAAAGTAGACAGACAAAGAGTGCTCTTGTCTGTCTACTTTCCCCTCCTTGTGTTTTTTGGCGCTTATTTACAAGGTGATGAGTATTATACACGATTAGTTCGACATTTCCATATGAAGACGGCGTTTTTTAAGTCGTGGGTGTGACAAACAATCCAGATATCTATAACCTTTGTGGATTAAGAACAGCAAGAGGATGGAGAGGAGAAAATTACCTCTTCTCACCGATTGGTATTTTCTTCCTTTCCACTCTCCTCTCAAGCATGTACTCCGCTAATGTGAAGAGAGAGGAAGAGAGAGTTCTCCTGCTATTGTTACCCTGCAACAGACTATATAGATAAGTTCATGTTTAAAGCTCCCGGGTATCACAAGTGTAAATGAGACCGAACTGCAAGGAAGAAGTTGAGGTGCAACCAGTGCATGCAAACGCTTGCATGTACAGGATGTGGCCATAAAAACATTGACATTTAAAATGCCTAGCAAAAATTAGATTTATAACATGCACATCTGAAAATGGGTGCATCAACGTTGCTTCCCTGAAAGTTTTGTCTAATTGTTTTTTAAGGGGTTGACTTGGGAGTAGTGAGTTACTTAAAATAAAACAAAAAGGCCGCAGTGCATTTTCTCTGGCCTATAGTGGTCATTTCTGTCTACATATTGGTTTGCATGTGTTTCAGGGTGGCCTACTCAATGCTAAAAGCTTTTTTTTTAATTGATTGCAATTATTTTGATCGTTGTCAGTGTTTCCTGATACATTCTTGGCGTTTTTGTGTTCAGTACGCCACCTAGCAGCAAGGGCTCGAGCCGCTGCGCAGACGGAATGTACTGCTGCCGTTTTTGTCTGATTTTTAAACATTCATATACTATTCAAAGTTTATGCCTGAAACAATTAAATAAAAAACTTGAGACGAAATGCCCTTGTGCCCAATTTTAGGTGAGTATATTTGAAATTCAATTTTTACTAGGCAGTTCAAACATGAAGGTTGTTACAGTCATGTCCTGTACAATCCAAGGAAGTCTTGCTGAGAAATGTAGCTCCCGCCAGGGCTCAATTTTTCTACAGCTGACACGAAGTGAGGCATAATGAGCAATCGGACTGTGTCAATCTTCCTTCCCTTCAGGCACGCAGGGAAACACCTATGCCAAGGTGGTGACAACTCAGTCGGCGCAGACTGAAGAGTTGGAGCTACTTGGCACCGCAAGTGCCACCACCACCACCATCACCACCGCCGCCACCACTGTCGCCGCCACCCCCGCCGCCGCCACCGCCACCCCCGCCACCGCCGCTGCCGCCGCCGCCACCGCTGCCGCTGCTGCCGCCGCCGCCGCCGCTGCTGCCTCTTCAGTGCCACCAATGAGACCCGTCTTAGCACCTGCCACTCCTGTACCCACGGAGACGGTTCGGACCCCAGTGCTAGATGATCCAGACGACAGCGCGGATCCTTTGTACGAGCCATTTGCGGAGCGGAGCTTCATCGAGTAAGAATGCTTTCATCCTTAAACTAAACGAGCTGATTTACGCTCTGTCTAATGCAACAGCACCACAGGAAATGAGGCCAAAAATTTGGCAGTCGCTAAGAAATTAGAATGTGTGACACACCCTGAATCAGGCACATAACCAGGATGCGCCCATGGCAAAGTGTCATAGGTAGGGAAGAGGGAGAGGAGGTTCCGAGACTGACCTGTTTCTAGTGGCACTGGATTATGTGTAAGCTATAAGTGCTTGCCCCTGAAATGCTAGGAAAGCATCAATGTTTTGTTAGCTTTGTAGGTTTTTGAGGAGAGCATGAGCATCTCAGTTTCTTTAGCATGCTCGATTTGATTTGTTCCCCTATTATAATGTCGACAGCACACCTCTCGTGCTCAAGCTCACCTCTAGTTAAAGCGAACCTCTAGTTAAAGCCCTCACACTAGATATTTTTTCAGGGATGACCCTATCACAGGCGAGGAGCCAGCTCACAAGGAACGGAAATTCATCGTGTTCGAGAGCAGACTGCGACAGCTGTTTAAAGTCTGCAAGACCTGCTACAGGCCATGTAAGGTGTCCACTTCGACGAACACCACCCTTCTCACGGTGCACACACTCTGCCCTGCTGGGCACTCCCATCGCTGGGACAGCATGCCGTCCATCAAAGGCAGGGCTCTGGGCACCCTGCTGCTGTCGGGAGCCATACTCTTCACGGGGTCATCTCCAACGAAGACGCTGCGCTTGTTCGAGCTCATCAACCTCCAGGGGATGTGCGAGAAGACATACTTCAACTATCAACGAACAATCTTGCGCCAAGCCATCGAACAGGTAACAATTAATGAGATCAGTTTTTTCCTGACATGTTCTTGAACCCCAATGCAGTGTCGCTTTATATGTTTATGCCAGTATGAAACATTTCAAAACTTTTTGCAACAGGTGTGGACAGACGAGCAGGGCAAGCTGCTGGATGAGCTTCGTGACCAGCCACTGGACCTTGCTGGTGATGGGAGATGCGACTCCCCCGGCTTTTGTGCCAAATATCTCACTTACTCCCTGTTTGTGGGTCACGTGAACAAGATCCTTCACTTCGAACAGGTTCAGGTTGGAGAGGTAAGGAATGGCATGCAATTACCTTATTGTGGAGGTGAGGGATGCATGAAGCCACCTTATTGTGGAGGTGAGGAATGGATGGAACCACGTGATTGTGGAGGACTTTTTGGGCTGATAACCTTTTGAAACAGAATAGTACAGTAGAGCACACACTACAGCCTACTGCTACATTTTTGTCTTTGTGATACACACTTGAAGTCTATAGCTCTTCTCATCTAGAATGAAATAGGTGAAAATTGTTAAGGCTGCAGGTTACCTGACATAGGTACACTTATCTTCACAGTGAGGGTGAACAAGCTTAGTCGTTGGGTCGTCACCACCAGTGCGTCAAAATCACGCCAGCGGCAACAGAGGCACAGAGAAGGTGCGTCACCTTCAAAGGTGACGCACCTTTGAAGCGCTGGCAGAGGCAGTCGAACAACAGAGCTTGTTCACCCTCATATCTGAGGATGTCTGTACATCTGAGATAATCATTGCTGATACTGATATTTGAAATATGTTGTTCCATTTTACACTGAATACACAGTGCGAGACAGTCCGCAACAGTGGACAGATGGAGAAAGAAGGCCTGGTGCGGTCCCTGGACTTCCTCAAGAAGAAGGACATCACTGTGCGGTCTCTCACTACAGACAGACACCGTTCCATTGGGAAACACATGAGGGAGCAGGAACCAGGCATCCTGCACTACTTCGACGTCTGGCACGTCTCAAAAAGTAAATGCAATTTGTTAGGACCTCATGCCACTGTATGCAAACGAACAAACCATACTGCTTGCCAACATAGCAGAGTGGTATTGCTCACCGAAAGTTTTCTGCAGTATCATATTTGCACTTGTTTGCATTGTATCTTAAAGTGTTTTGATGGGATGAAATTTGACCACTTAGATTAGGGCCCCAATTGATAGGGCCCCAATAGAGCACGCCTTACTACAGCAGAATTTGAGAGCCCATCACGGACCGTGTTCCGACAGAAAATTAAGAAAAACATATTGTTTGTTTTATAGTATTGCCAGCCGCCAGTGCTCAATCAGAGCAGTTGTTGCTAACAGTGCATTTAACACATCTATATACAATGGTTACCTATGCAATTTGTTTAGCGGCATTAGGTCTTTATAGTCTGTCACCTTAAAATATTTTGTCTTGCGTGTCTTTTAAAGGAATGCTGAATTGCTTGCTTGTGCCCTTCTGAAACCAATGTTTTCCCATGTGCTTCGTGAACTCTCATTGCTTGCTTCTGCTCATTTTGCACTGGGATGCCAGCACCATCCAATTATTGTTGGGAGGAATTTTTATTCGCGGCAAGAATTGCGCTAGGGGCGCTTTAGCAGTCCTCACATGCCCGTCATCTATTGGCTCGGTCAGAACTCGGAGAGCCAATCACAGCGACCACCGGAGGAAGCTCGGAGGATGACGAGACCAAAAGCATGCTTAGATCAAAATATGAAGACAAAATTTTGACCTCGTCATCCTCACTCTGGGTTGCGAGACAATCTACCAGGTGGTGATTCCCAAACTTCTCGGCGCGAATAGAGCATAAAAATATGTTTCCGTCTCTATGTGCGCTTTCCTGTAAAGTGAATTATTCTCCAATATGAGCGGTGTCAGCAAGCCTATTCTATCTTCAAGAACTATCTTTATGCAGACTACAAGTTAGAAGGACCAGAAAGATTGTACTAATTTTGCTCGCTCGTCGAACTGCAGGCATCAAGAAGAGCCTGAACGCGGCAAGCAAGGGGCAGGACTGTGGTGCACTTGCTCTGTGGGCACAGCCAGCTTCAAACCACATGTACTGGTGCACGGCAGCTAGCCGTGGCAATGGTGACCTCCTTGTGGACGCCTGGACAAGCCTAACCAGGCACGTCATCAACGTCCACAAAGACCATCCTGGGATATACACCCGGTGCTTTCATGCGCCCATTGAAGAAGGCGAATGGATGGAGCCAGGTAAGGAGGCAGTTCACATACCTAATCAGACTTACTTTTTCGTCCATATTTGGTGTTTGTTGTAGGGTTGTGTGAATAGTGGATCGAATTGAATAGCGCTGCGTCATTCATAGCCTTGACAATACAAGGGAAAGCCCAGACAACCGGTTCTTTCAACAGTGCAGAAGCTAGGGATGACGCTGCGCTATTCGATTCAAGCCACTATTCGCACTACCCTAGTTTGTTGCTTTGTCTGGCCTTTTTCAAACTAGGGGACAACCGGAGAAGCTCTATACCTTTTTTTAATGCATCTCTCAATATTCCCGGGCTTTACAGGAACGCAATTTATTTGTTGTCATTTCTGTTGCTTGTGCGAGCTAGCCAGCTTTGACAGTCCTGAAAAGTTGGGGGAAAAGCGTGCCAAAAGTGGTCGCCATGACTACCTTACTCATGTCCGCGAGGGCTGCTGCAGGACGATTAATTAATAACGGTAGAGCACCAGTGCACCTAGAAGAGCACATCAACTCAGTACGTCACATCAAAATGAAAGTGGTACACTGTCTGGATTTTTGATTGAAAAGTACAGCAAGAGGAAAGAAAAATTATGCATTTAGTGCACTATATTTTGTACAAACATGTTTCAAAAAGTGTATTTTGTTAATGCATATTCACCAAAAAGAAAGGTAAACTTTTATCTGCACTTATATTCATTGATAAAAGCTGAAAATTTCATTTCCAAATAAAAACCGGAAAGGTTGCCATAATTGGAAGAAAAATAAAAATGCCGCAGCCTAAACATTAGTTACAAAGGATACTACCTTCAAGAAATACAACAAGGTTTACCAACAACTCAGCGTAAAAGTACCAATCTTTTGTTAATTACTGTTTGCTCCGACAAGCTGAGATCCCCTTTTTTATTGGTTCAGAAACGCCTGCCCATGCAAAGTTTGTGGACATCGTGACGAGGAAGCAGCTGCTGAAGGACCTGCAACAGCTGTCCCCGGACACACAGACTTATGCCCTGGAGTCTTACCACAGTGTCCTGAACGGCTTCGCAGCGAAAGCGTTTGCCTTCAGCACAGGAGGCATGGTCGCCAGGTATGTTGTAAAAATTTTAGGGGTCTAGAAGAAGATCCTCAGGTTGCCTGCCGTTTTATGTTAAAATATCATAGCCCAGACTTGTTTTGTGTGTTTCCTGAGTTTTGTGACAGTTTTGTCACAATGCCGTAATTTTGTACCTTAATCATTCTATTTTAACCTCCTAATCAGTCACAACTGCAGTATGGCTGTGCTTTATCAAAATGAGTAGGTTTGCAAAGCATCTAACACATGTGCAAATATGAACACACTGATTCACGTGATGAAGCTAGCTTCATCGTGGCTGCGGAATGCTTGAGAATCCAACAGTAAGATATAGCAAAACAGATTGTTTGACCACATTCCCTATTCGTCCAGAACGCGCGTTGCAGCGCTCCACTACAACGAAAACAGCAGCAGGGGCCAGGCCATCACACAAGCGGGTGAGATGCAGTGGAAGATGACATCTCCCAAGGCAAGGAAGGGACACCACAGCGTCAATCCCAGGATGACAAAAGCCACATATGGTAATATAAGAAGAATGCTACTGTTCAGAGATACCTTTACTTTTCCCTACTAAATTTTGATGTTTGGAGTTACAGTGTAGACCGCATATAACGTATGTCGTGGGAGTCGCAAAAATCTGCATTATAAGCGGTACCGCGCTATAACCGAAACAGCAATTTTTCAGGCCAAAATACATGCCATAAGACAACTTACCTTTGTAAAAGAATTTATTTTATGTTAGATGAATAATAAAGCTTAGTTTGAGGAAAATCTTCATTTCACCAGACTAGTACACCTCTGTCTCAAGTGTGTCACACATTTTGACCTTTTAACGGCGTCCTTTTAACGGCGTCGCGGGTTGCGGACGGACGTTGCGAGCATTCAGGATTGCTAACCCTAATCACTTTTCTCCGGCGATGAAAACGCGTGAAAATTCGCACCCTTTATACGGTACGCGCCAGTAATACCTTCAACTTGAGCACAGGCATGAAATGCTCCAAATAAGAAATCCGGACGATGTTCGCAAACACTAATGCTTAGAAAGCACCACTGTAGTCGAAGTAAACAAACACGACGACACGGGCGTTTCTGCCGTCTTGAGAGTGCCGCCACGACATCACCGCACGAGTAGGTGGATCTTCCCTTCTAGTACGTGCTGGGTTATCATAGCGACGCACAACGAAAATTCACAGTCAAGGATAGCGCTGTTACGCGGAACGATGAGCTTCCACCACGCCGTCTACGTCGACGATCACAACCGACGCTATGTTTGCGGATAGAAGAAGCCAGCCCGCGACCGGTATGCAACAAGCGCGACCAGTTCTCGACCTGCGATTGGTCTGTCGTTGCGGTTGTTTCCAACACAGCGGAGGGACGCACGCACGTGAACGACACGTGCGTGCGTCCCTCCGTCGCTATGGCGACTGAAGCCTCTCTCTTCCCTTCTCCCTGCTTCTTCGAGCAACCTCCTTGCCCTGCGAGTGCCGCTTGCGGCTAGCGCCGTTATCTAGTGTCGCACAGGGAAGCCAATCGCAATTCGGCTGACAAATAATATTTTAAACATCAAGTCGGGACAACACTCCTCTCGAACCCTTCCCTATCACTTTAGGAAAGAGAGATCCACTTGCATGGTGGGGAGCTGCCCAGCTTGCACGGCGCTACAGGTTTAAATTTGACCTTTTGCCTGACCCTCTCTTCCGTCTCATACTTCCTCCACGGAGTGCCAAGAACCCCACAACCTCCCCGGCTCAGCAGCCCAAGCTGCTGTCGACAATTGACACATCGTAGACCAGAGACCTAAACATCCTCTACACGGTCATCGCGCTTCCCTCAATCGTCCAGTTTCCCCAACCTCCCCCTTCGTCCTCCTCTTTCTATCCCGATCGGCTTTCCCGAGGCAAGTGCTGAGCAGCTAGCCGCTCCAGTAAATTTGTAGATGCAAGTCACAAGGTGTGTTGTGTGTTTCGTTTTGTTACATGCCTCTTTCGTTTTAAATCAAGGAATTCTGACATACATGTAGTTCAAAATCTGCTCAGTTAAAAAAACCTCAAGCACTCACAAATATGGTCAGACAACGCTGCGAAACTCATAAAACATTTGATGTTGGGCTACTAAGCCTTTCTTACTTCCAAACATAAATCTCCCTACGTTCTCATTTTTGTGAAAAACTGGAAGTCCTACTCTAATCTCATTTCCTCATCTCATTTTGGCAGAATCATGTGCCTTCCGATGCGCACGTTTCCCCACAGTCAACATAATGCCCAATATTACAACTACTTTTGCAGATTACGTCGCAAAGCTCCTGACTCGGTCTGTGGAACTCTGCAAGACAGCGCTGCCCCTGAAGGAAGCTTTCAAGCTTGATGCGGAGACACCACGTCCACCCTGCATGAGCGAGAGCTTCGAAAGGCCGTCAAAGGAAGACCTTGTTGCAGCCAGGCTCAGCCGTTTTGCAAAACAAGTGGCAAGCATAACCGGGTGACTTAGCACGAGCGAGTTTAGTCTTGTGAAACCTGCTGTTAGGGTTCTTGTCTTGATTGCTTCCAGGAGCTGTCAATGCAGTAACACTTTCACTCCAAGACTCGTTGATGGAATGAGTGGTGTCGTCGTAAGTGCCACTCAGCTTGTTATGATGCCACTCATTTTTACAAGCTTTTGAATGCGGAGCAAAGACCGACTTTATTACCACGATCGTGGCTCCACTCGAGGTGCTGCTTAGCATCAGGACTTCTGGGTACCTTAAGTGTTAGTCGACAATAACGATGAAGACCTGCTGCTAATGAAACAGGTCCGCACCAGCGACGGTCCCATGGGCGAGCAGGGTTGCCAGACGAAATGAGCTGTTCTGCCAGTTGCGCTCTTTTCTTGGCACATTATTCGCAGACACTCACCAGGGATGCGATCTGTGCATTGATGCCTGGCCACCAGGCAGAGTCATGAGCTCAGCACTTGCACTTGACAACTCCGTGGTACCTGTCATGTATCACCCTCATTATTGTTGATCGTAACTCGGCAGGTATGAGGAGCCTCGAGCCCTTCGGAAGAAGTCCTTTGCAAAGCGACAGCTCGCCTTGGAGAGACCAATACTTGGACAGATTGAGGGGCAGCTTGTGCTTCTTCGGCCATCCAACCTCACAATACCATGTGAGTGTACAGCACTCTCCGTCAGTCTGTTGCATAGCTTGGATTTTCTTGGGGTGAAGTGGGAGGTCAGCAGACGCGTCTTCCAGTGCTGCAATTGCAAAGGTGTCCGGGGAGCCCTTCCCTTGTCTTCAGACCCAGTTCTCTGTGGAGCTCTAGGGGGTGTGTCTGCCATTGCCAGTAGTTTCCCCGGCACAACTGGTACTGCATCAGCTTTAAACGAAGGCGCTGGATGCGGGGAGGACGTCCCTACGCTGAGCTGCAAACCACGTATGAGCTCGTCAAAACGTTCAGCCACGCCGCTGCCAAAGCCGTATCCTCCGTCTTGCTGTGGCAGATCTCTGTCGGGGTCATGGCCCAAGATGCAAAGGCAAATGCCCTTCTTTCTCCAGAAGGTTGGTCTTGAAGGAGTATGGCATCGAGACCAAAGGAGCTGGCATCTGCCGAAACTGTTGTGGGGTACACTGGGTTGTACTTGGCGAGACAGCAGTCTGAACTCTGGAAGTTCTTCGCGCGTAGGAATGCTGCTGCCTGTTCGGAACCCCAGCCCCATACATCTGTTGCTCTTCGACAAAAGTGCTCGGGGATGCGCGGCACGAAATGTGCAACATGGTTTACCATTTCAAGTAATCTTCGCACACCTGTGACACTCTCAGGCCTTTCCGTCACCTGTACAGTCTGAATCTTCCTGAGATCCGGCTTCACGCCTTCTGCTGATATGACGACTCCAAGGAAGTTGACTGCGGACACTCCAAACACACATTTATCTTTTTTGAGGGTGATGCCTGCCTTTGATAGTCGGGAGAGCACTTGACTGAGTTGCGTGTCGTGCTCCTCTTGCGTCCGTCCAAAGACAAGTATGTCATCAATCATGTTGATGCACCTGTCTTGTCCTCTCAGAATGCATGCCATTTGCTTCTGGAAGTATTCTGGTGCCAACGTAAATCCAAAAGGCAAACAGCAGAAGCAGAAGCGGCCAAAGGAAGCGATGAAAGCGGTGTACTCCTGACTTTCCTTGACAAGTTATACCTTCTGAAATCCAAAAATAGCGTCCAACTTGGCAAACACCCTCTCTTTACTCAAAAGTCCGAGAACTTGGTTCACTCTAGGGAGCATGTGCCTTTCTCCGAGGACGACCTCAATGAGCTTCGTAAGGACAGTGCAGGGGTGGTGACTTCCAGAAGCCTTCATTCGGTACAACTGTTCCTGCATACTATGGGGTCTGGCCTTCAACCCGACGAATGACTCCCTGCCATGTCCACACAACCTCTCGTTGGGGAATTGGTGTACGACTAGACACACTCAGTAAGAATGAACTAGATTTGGATTCAAGCTAGGTTGTGTACTCGTCAGGTAGCATACCCAGACCTGCGAAGAGCTCAGTGAAGCCTGGCTTGACTGCAGGCTTAGCTGCAGTGTCAAGGAACTTGCCCTGAAGGTTCTGTATGGCAGGGAAGCCCAGCAAAGGAGTTCTGAGAGACTGGACAACATAAACCTGCTGCTTGGAAGTCTTGCCGTTTCACCACAGTGTCAGTGAGAGAGCACCCCGCACTGTAAGCGGATGGTTTCCCGGTCCATAAATGGCGTTTTCAGCCGTTGTCAAGCTCTGGGGTATCCAGCGGAAACTATCCGGAGCAGCTGTCACGTCAACTCCTGAGTCCACTTTGAAAGACGCAGTATAGTTGTTGACGGGGACTTCAACAAACTTAGCCCTTTCTCCGGCATCGACTGCAGAAAGCTGCAGAGTGTCTACTTTAGCTTGCTTTTTCATGCGGGAGCGACAGACCTCTGCGGAGTGCCTTTCCTTACAGTAAAAGTTGCACTTGACTTACGCGCGTGACTGTTTGCATGAGGATGAAATGAGCATCCGCAGAATAAACAAGAACCAGGCTGGCCATTAACACTGGTCGTGACCAGCGTTATTAGCGTTAGACTGAGTCCCGCGTTGCTTCTGACAACCTCAAGAGCTTGGTCGTGTCGAGGTAGACACCCTGACTTTCTGGAGTTGCTGATGTACCCTTGCCTGCCGTGGTTGCCATTTCTTTGTCTGTGTATTCGGCTTGGCACGCTTGCACCCATGTGTCCTTGAGCATGAGGTTCGGGTTTCGTCCAAGATTGTCTGAAAGCTGAGAGTCCTGGGTTCCGACGACCAAACGATCCCTTACGAGGCGTTCCTTGACCTCTAGGGAGCCATAGTTACACTGCTTGACCAGGGGCATCAGCTCCACGTGGAACGCGTCGACGCTTTCCTCAGGTTGTTGGACCCGCCAATGGAATCGCAACGATTCATATACTTTGTTCACGGAGTAGACGAAGTGCTCAGTGAAACGCTGTACCACGACGTTGTAGGACGCCTTAACGGACAGGGAAAGGGCTGCAGCAAGCATCGGTCCTCCGAGCCCATGCACTGCAATAACAGCCGTATCTGAATATCTTCAGGTGCCGAGGAAAGACAGGATGCGAAGGCTTAGCCTTCATACTGCGGGGGCCAGGAGGGCCACAGCCACTGGATCTCTCCGAACGAACTGTCAATTTTCGACAAAACCTCAAGATGGGGAAAAGATGAGGGACGATACAAACACTGTGTCAGACACAGCTGCATTTTAGTCGACAGAAGATCATGGTTTTATAGGGTTCAAGTGCCAAAAAAACACTGAAAGGAGAAAACTCGCTTTAAACCTTAATTAAGATTTTTAAATTGTGCCGTGCACTGGAATCAAGAAGACTTGCACATCACAGTTGCTAGTTAAACTAACTCCAACTTGATTATCAAGTTGGCTATCAAGCTTTTGAAGGGCAGCTTTTTGTTTGTGTGTCTGTTGTCGTATTGTGTAAGATGTAGCAACAAATAATCTTGGCTTTACTCGAAAATATTAAGACCGCCTTCTACACCTCGTCGGATCTCGGAGGCTTCGTGACCCCCACTTTACGCACCTCTGCCTTAGGTGGCTGTCATATCGAAGCCTTTTGCCCCTTCACGACCCCTTGCTTTGTCTTTGAAATGTCAAAGAGGCACACTGTTGCAGCATTAGGATGGTTGGCTGGCATACCTCATGCAGTACTGCTCTTCTATAATGTGGAAAGGCAGCCAAAAGCACAATAGGGCAAGGGATGTTCAAGAGGCAGGCATGATGAAGATTCCCACAAGCAGCCCCCACATGCAAGTTGTAAATTCTACGGTTCATGCTCACCCTCAGAAATGGAGGGTGAGCATGTACCGTAGAATTTACAACTTGCATGTGGGGGCTGCTTGCGGAATCTTTATCAAAAAGAAACAAGGAAAAGGCAACGAAAAAAAACTGCACCTACATTAGATGCTTTTGCCTGTAAATGTACACAATGTGAAGTAGCAGTAATATCCAATCATCAGTTTTTTTTTATTTTTGTCTTGGGATTGGATGCATGGCCACCATAAAAGCTGCGTGGCAGAAACTCCCCATTCAGGACTGTGATCTAAATGCAACAAAGTGGTAACTTAAAAAAATAAAACCTAGATTGAAATGTTTACATTTACAAAAAATTGCATCCGCAAGGTATGCCGACCACCAAATCATGGTATGGAACAGACTCGGCTTAGCCAGCGATTATGCAGACATTTTGTCGAGCAGAAAGTGCTCCAGGGATATAGAACGATTTGGGTTGCAGAAGTTCCGCACTTTCATTGGTTGAATATGCATTTGAGATATATAGTATAAAGAACATTCGTCTGAGGTTGAGTTCAAATTTTTTTATTCCGTATCCAAAAACCCAGTGTAAGCTTCCGAGGGGAATTCCTCACGGATTGTCCTGACGACACAGGCAGGCAGGACTCGTCTGTTGCGGCGCCCCAGTCTCCGCCACATCCACCGTACAAACTGCCTGTAGGCCACGAAGCGTAACCTGTGAAAATGATAACATAGATAGTAACTTGTCAGTGTGATAAAGTTGCGTATAAAGTAAAAGTACAGACTGCAAGGTTAAACTATACAACTGGAGTGCATAGGTGCAATATTACAAAGGCGGCATGGAGGCATCTGTACTCCACCTTCAGGATTTCTTCTAAAACCTTTTCATGTATGAAGAAAAGGAAACATGTAGTTCGATGAATTTTAATAACCGATACGATGGAACACAGAGGTATGATGGTCAAAGAGCAGTGGATAATTGTGAACTAAATAACATCTACAGAAGCACATTATTGTACCGAGTATGCTTGTAGAAGACACAAGTGCTTTTGATAAGATGTACCTGTTTCATGCTTTCCCAATGTAAACACTTCTTTGGTGTGACATGTAACATCACCTGTGGTGGGCTTTACTTGCGTTATTGTTGATGAGCTGACTAGTTATCAGGACACTGTATTCTAATTTATCTACAGGTTCAGGTGGTATCATCAACATTGTAGTGAAGTGCAGTTCTAAATAATTTGCTCTGGTTCTTATGTCGCTATAAAATGGGGTCTACAGGAAAATAAAATTGTTCTACTGCCATGCTAATTTTGAAGTGTGGCACTTGTAATGCTTGTACAGTGTATCACTTGAAAATGCTTTTACAAAGTATTCAAGGTTACATATAGCCGGTTGTAAAATCAATTGTGAAATCAATCTCTGTGCAACATGTTTTCTGAGTTGTTAATCTGTTACAACAAATGTGTGCACAATTCAAAACTATTCTTTGCCAGCTGTTCATAATTGAGGTGAGGCGAGTGCTGTTGGTAACAGATAAATTGGAATGTTTACATAGCGTGCCTTTGAGCCACGAACAATGGCCATTTCTGTAGTCGGGGGCGGATGCAGGAATTTCCTGAGGTGGGGGTCAGGTGTTGGTCAGCGTACCATATGTTTAGAAATTCCCCCCCCCTCGTTTTACGCCCTAAATTTTACGCACGCAGAATTCAAGAGGGGGGTCAGGACATCCGGACCCCCCCTCTAAATCCGCCCCTGTCTGTAGTAGTATTTATTGCGTACTATGACCTATTTCAGTTCAATAGAATTTGAGATCAATGTACTGACGAATACAGTCTGAATTTCAGCAAACATTAGCTTCGCTTAGGGTTCCGGATTCGACTCTTTTAGAGAAAGCTCATATCCCGACATGTCTAGAGTATTGCAGAACGTGAATTAGTTACCGTTATTGCTGATACTTTGGGACAATGGGCTGAGATGAGCCCCAGGTATGGCACCAAGCTCATGGAGTTATCTTGTTTGTGTGCCTTATTGCAAAGGCCTCGAGCCATTGGTGAGCACTTGTAATAAAAAATGAATGAATAAATGGCGTGTCAAGCAATTGCTTTTTGTGCGGATCTATATTTGGGTCACAAGGGGCCTTCCAGATCTAGTGATATGTTTAGGTGGTATCCACATGGGTAAACAAATTTCTGCCCCTATAAAGATTTACAACAGAGAATATGTAAAATAATATCTAGCACAAAAACTGGATGGTGATCGCGACAGATCGAGTCCCTGTCCCTGACCCCATTGTGAACGACCCTTGGGGTGCACTAGTTCCATCTCGGTTGCGACGAAATATAACGGGAGTAAAAGGAAAATTCGATGCACATTGCCAGGCAATTGGCAGCGTTGCACTCGCACTTGATGTCGCAGAAACCCACCGTAAATCTGTTCAAGGGCTTCTGTTATTTTCGGGCGTGAACGAAGAGCGATCAAGTGCGCGTGCCTGCGATGTCGCGCTTTGTAAGTATGTAGAAATATGTCGAAATGTTGGAGACGAACGGAGCACCTCTGTTCCCCTTGCGCCGGGTTGTGACCAGCCTCTTGTAGTGCCCAGAAGGCTACTCGGAGCACGGCAGGCTGAAGGCAAATGAGCGAAAAGTCTGCGTGCTCTGTCACGCATCCCTCCGGTTGAGCAGTTACAGCAGGCGGGCATTCTCGGCAGCAAACGCATTCCCTCGATGTTGGCATCACCTCGCACCTCTTACAAGAGCACCTATGATTGAAAACGAAGAGACGTCACATGGAAACTGCTCAACTACAGATAAAAAGTGTATGTTGAGAAACCAGACGCGGTGCTTACCATGCCGTGGTGACCAGACGCCATGCATCTGGGTCCGGACTGGGATCGGGCTGTGCCGACATGTCTTCCTCATTCGACAACCGAACTTTTCTC